AATGACACACAACGCGAGGTATGCTCGATTTTCTGCCGATTTTTGACACACCACGCCAAAAAGGTTGCCCATCACTGACCTAGAGTGTCAGACTTAACAGAAAGATTCTATTAATCTAGGGTTACAATAAAATAGAATTTGTTTTATTCATATTTCTGCCTGGTCTGTCTATTAAGGTTGACATCAATCTTGCAAGTCTGAACGTACTTTTCTCCTTCTGTCCCCTTTGCAGCCCCAAAACTAGTGAGGGTCTCTTCTCTTGCCCACCCACACTCCTGCTGTGGGCTCAGCTGCCTTTGATGTAACCATTTTCCGGTTGCATTTCTTTGCCTGGTCTCCCAAGGTTATTCCAACATACCATTGCAGGATCTTCTAAAGCGGAAGTTCTCAACTTCTAAGATGCGTGGACTTCAACTCCTAGCATGCCCCAGCCACAACACTGGCTGAGGAGTTCTGGGAGTTGAAGTTCATGGGTCTTTAAGCAGGCACAGTTGAGAAACCCCTTTCTAAATAATTGCCAATTTTCAGTACACTGTCTTGATGCTCTTTCTCTTTTCTTCCCCATTCTCTTTTTTCTTTTTCTTTTAGAATTCCCATGATGCTTCGGTCAAAAGACACGAAAGAGGAAGCAGCCATGAGATTGTTGGTCTTCACTTGATGATGCAAGGCAGAATGGCTGCTGTAGAAGCTGCAGACATCCTTCAGAATCCCAGGGCTAAGTCTCTCTTGGCCAAAGACAGAAAAGAGTCCCAAGAGGAAAATGGGGCAGCTAGCCACCTCTCCAAACCCTGTGATGCTTCCTTCGCTGGGGCAGAGCCGAATTTGCAACAGGCACCAGCCAGCAAGCTGAAGAAGACAGCCTTTAAATTCTTTGGGGGAAAGAGAAGCATTTGCACCCTACCAAGCTTTTTTGGGGGGAAGAATAAAAGCCAAGCCAAGGGAGCCTCCAAAAAGGGTCTCAGCAAGAGCAAGACTCATGATGGCATCAGTGATGTGGCGCATGAAGAGGCCACTTCTGGATGCCTCAGGAGTTCCTCAGACGGAGGGCCAGACTTTCCTCCTGCCCAGCTGCTGCCAAGTTCTCAGAGCTCTCTTTTGGGAACTGAGCTCAGAGTTGGCTTCACCCAGAGCTCAAACTTTCTGTCCAGCAACTCTGAAGGCTTTGAAAAGAAGCTGACCGGAGAGAAGTCCTTGTTCCTCCCCAGATCCAAAAAGGGGCTGAAGGGGCTTTTCAACAGCATTCGCCGTCATCGGAAGAACAAAGTTGCTGAACCTGAGAAGACAGAGCTGCAAGAATGGGCTCTCAGGGACACCGGGACCAAAGAACAGACACATGGAAGTGGACTGGGTAGGAGTCTGCAAAGTGGAACTGTGACGCCAGAATGTGTGGAGAATTTCTCTGCCGATGCTGTGCCTCAAATTGCCAACCATAATGAGACAGGAGAGATGGACTGCTTGGCCTCATGCCCAGTGAGGTCCATTGGTGAGGCAGCTAGAGGACCTGCGTCTCTTGAAGGATTTCGAGATGGACAGCCAAACCTGGAAGATGTCTGTGCTGACTCTGCCTATGGTGACCTCCCTGATGCTTTTGAACCAGAGTTCCTGGAGAAGAACCCTCCTTGCCTACCATCCAGGGAACAACTTAGCCTGATGTTTGGGGAGGTGACGTCCCTTAAAAGCTTTGACTCTTTCACCGGTTGTGGAGATATCATTGCAGAACCGGATATTGATAGCATCACAGAGAGCTCGACTTCTGTGGAACGCAGCCGGGATGCTACCAAGAGGACCTCTTGTTTGGTTACTTACCAAGGTGGAGGGGAGGAAATGGCCCTGCCGGAGGATTTAGAAGAGTACCTCCAGCAGATGTGGGCAGGAGCCATCAAAGGAGATGTAGCCTCTGAAGCACATCTGCCGGAGCTCATAACCAAATGTGACCTTCAGGGTATGGATGGTGCCAAGCAGGAAGTTAATCTATACACTGAAGGAACAAGGAATGATATAGACCTTCTGACACCACATAGTGATCAACAAGAATCTGCTCCCAATAGTGATGAGGGCTACTACGATTCTACCACCCCAGGTCCTGAAGATGAAGCTATTGATGGTTTAGATGAAATAAAAAAGGACCGCCTTCCGAGGGACAGCTACAGTGGGGATGCTCTTTATGAGTTCTATGAACCAGATGATGCATTGATGAGCCCATCTCATGGAGATGGATCCTGGTTTGATGGGAAACTGTCTCCTTCAAAGATTTTTGACCAGTTTTTGGACTTTGCTCTCCTTGATGAGAAGGACTTGATCTGGCTGATGGATCAGAAAAGTGAAGTGATGGAAACAGAAGAGCAGAGGCTGGCAACTCTCCAGAAACAGCTGCTTTTTGGGGAGATGCAAAGAGAGCCAGCCCTGAAACACCTCCAGGAGCTTAGAAGAGACCAACATCTGAGACCAGGGCAGTTGTCTGAATGTAAAATGCAAACAACCCACTTAGTTGGGAAGAGCTCGAGTTGCCTTGGTTGTGAGCAAATGAATTTTTGTGCTTTGAACAAAAGTCTAAGTGGTGGAAAGAAGCTAGCAGAAAACCAAGACTGGGAAGATGATCTCCACAAGCAGCTCTATCCAGAAAAGCTTTGTGATAGCAACAGCACCACTAAAGCACACGATAGTTGCCTTCTTCAGCCATTAGAGAATTGTTCAGAGTTGGGCTCCAGCGATGAACATCCGGTGCTTGATTCCCGTGCTTTGGCTTCAGGAAACTCTGTGACCTTCCCTCTCTACAGAGTGCATGGCCACCACGGCTGCTCTCCAAAAGCTAACTTTCAGGAGCCCTGCCAGGAACACAACGAAGAACCAGAACAAGCTGTCAACTTCTCACAAGCCTTGGTGGAATTCACCAGCAATGGGACTCTTTTCTCCAGCCTGTCTGAAAGTCTTAGAAGCTCCAATTCAGGCTCTGAGTTTACTCAGAACCTTCCTGACCTGCCCACAATGGTGACTTTTGATATTGTCGATGTGGAACAAGAAGGGGAAGGGGAATGCGAGGAGCATCTGCAGATGAACACGGATGAGGATATGACCGCATCCTTTGAGGCTTTCAGGGACACTTATGACTCCAAAGCACCCTTTGCTGAATGTGATGAGCGAATGTTTCCTGAGTATCCTCAGATCTCTTTCCACTGGGGAGCTGCCAGCCTTCCTCGGCGTCTTCGGCTTCAGGAACTGAATGCACCTCTGCTGGAGCCTCTGTCCATCTGCAGGAGAAGCCGATCCCTTGATACTGAAAGTCTGGAGTTTGAGCTGGCAAGCTTGCAGCTATTCAAGAAAAGTTTTAGACCATTTGAGCTCTGTAGCGGTTCCAAAAAGGATCCTGGTCCTCTTGGGTTGGACAATGGCCAGGAAGGTGTGCCACATTCTCCAGGAGAAAGAGAAGAAGCTATTGGTGGCCTCTCATGGCCAGGACGGTTGAATGTACCACATGGCAAGGCGGAAATTTCCTTGCAAGAAATAAAAACAGGAGAGACTAGTTGGCATACACTCCCCTCTCAAAGTCCTTGGGGAATATTGGAGCACTCTGACAAGGCTCCACCTTTGGCTCACCTGGGTCAGAATTCCACCAAGGAACCAGCTGGACACCTTCATGCAGATGGAAGCAACCATCCAGTCCTTCCAGCATTGAGACCATTGACCAGGCCTTCCACTCTGTTTCTGCAAGCGCCTGTGATGTCACCAGAGGGCTCTACTCCTCAGAGGCCTGGTGGGGACAGTCTGTCTAAAAAACATGCTTGGGTCCTCCCTTTGGGAAAGAAAGAGCTAGACTTGCCTTTGAGCTTTAATTTCCCTTGCTCCTCTGACAAGCCATCAATGTATAAGCCTAGGGATGTGGCTCAGGGAACATCTCAGCTTCACACCGAGCAGTGCTGAGAACCACCCATAGGGGCTGAACATTGGGAAAACTCTAGACCCAGAACATTTGGGAAGCACTTCCTGCCAGCTAGTTAGTCTATGAACTTAGCTAACTAAATAGCTTTTGTGAATAGGGCTCCAGCTGAATTGGAGTGAGCTTTTCTTCCGGTAGGCTGTGAGAATACAGAAAATACTGCAAATACTGTTGACTTTGGTTTGAAGCTAGGAGAACTCGGTGAAATGTTGATGTTTCTCCTTAAACAGACATGCTTGTAGGTAGAGGGAACATCTGTTGATCTACAAAATGATATGGAGAGAACAGGGACACTCAGAAGTTGAGATGGGAATAAAGTCCTGGATTATTTCCAATTGCACCATCATGGGAAGAGAAGCAGAAATAATTTCCAAAAGTCAACGAGCTGGCCAAAGTTAGAAGGTATATTTAGAAGGAGCAAAAAGCTCAAGGACCTGCCAAAATGAGAGGTTTGCTTATGGTGAAACTTGTTAACTCCTAGTTTTTGAGGGCACATGTGCCGGGAAGGCAACCTGCTAAGCTGCTTTTATTCCAAAAGGTGCCTGTAGAAGAGAGGGCAAATAGAGAAGTACTGGCATGGTTACCTTTTATGTCTCAGAACCTCCTCCAGAAGGGGTGGGGCCAATTTTCTCCTCCTTTTTTTTAGTTGGGAGGGAAGTTGAGGGATAGAATTAGTGCCTTAAGCTTACCACCCATTTTATATCCTCCCAACGGGTCTTGACCTGGGCCATGGTTGGAATGTGGCCTTTGACAAATGGCACAAGGTCTTGGATAGCCTTCAGTCAACAGAAGTCTGGCACTTGTGATATATAGGATTGTGGCTGTGCAGCATATCTTAAGTGTGTTTACTTGTTTCAGCAGCATTTCCCAACCTTGGCAAATTGAAGGTGAGTGGATTTCAATTCCCAGAATTCTCGGCAATGGCTATGCTGGCTATGGAATTGTGGGAGTTGAAGTCCATATACCTAGAAATGGCCCAGGTTTGGAAGCCCTGAATTAGGGGGGCGTGCTGCTCAATTCAGTTGGGCTTTCTATAGTTTTAAAGGGGGGGGGGCAGAAAACTATCCCAACTTGTTGCTTGTCAATGAGGAGATTCGTTTGCAGTAGATGGGCTGGGTAAAATAGCAAGGAGTTGGCTGTCAGTTAAATTAGGGTAAGATGTGATTAGAGGGGAGATGGCCAAAAAAGGCTCTGAAATAGGTAATCTAGAAGGATCTTACTTGGGGGTATATTACTTTTAAGAAGCCATGCATACAATTAAAAAGTTAAAAACACTTCTTGATACTGAAACAAAGTAATGTCAATGCAGTGGTGGTCTTGCAATATCTGAAAGAGCATATTTTAAAAGGAGCAGGGACCCCAATACATGCAAAACTGCCCTTATTTAAAGTAATGGGATTCTGTTTTGTTTTGTTTTTTATTATGGTTAAATTTTAGAGCTGTGCAACGTTTCCAGTTTGATTCCAGAAAGGAGTCTTGCCTTGCTTGTAAGTGTTGGTTCCTGTGTGTTTGTGAACCCTGTCCCTAGCACTTTCAAGACGCTGTGGCATTTTCCAGGATCAGCTGGCCATTGCAGAAAGAAACCATCCGATCTAGAGAAAGGATGCAGGTGCTTTAATGAGTTACATCCAGACACTCTGTGTGTGTGTGTGTGTTTGTGTTCCGAAGTTTATTATTTGGAATCAGGTTTAAAGTGCTGCCGGGCAGAATATCTGTTGAAATCAATTTTCTAGGGTGCCTAGAATGCTTGGTAGATATATCTGTGGAATGAGGGGTTCTTGGTTCTCTGTGAACTTGGTCGTCTTTTTGCAGACCTTTCATTACCCAAACTAGGTAATGTTATCAGTGCTACTGATGATGTTACCTAGTTTGGGTAATGAAAGGTCTACAGGAAAAGCTCAGAAAACATCAAGGAATATTTGAGCTACAAATATTCTCCTTTATTGATAATTACAAAATTTGTGCAGGAGAACTTCAGGGAGACTCAGCTCTAGCAATCCAGCAACACTTTTCCCATGGTTGCCCCAGCGGTATTCAGAATTCGCAACTGAGGCAAACTTTGAGAGTCTGATTGCTAATACTTCAGAATCCTTTTGGCACAAGAATCGATGGGCCTGCTGGCAGAGCAAGAGTCTCACTGCTGCATGAGGATGAAGAAGCTGACAAGCTCTCTGTGATTATCACCCATTCTTCATTGGGCTGCCGGAAAGCTCTAGAGCCCGGATCCCTGAAATTTGGTGGTGAAATTTTACTTTTGAAAGAAATGGGAATGAAAAATAAAACCCTTGTGATTAACTTATATTAATCTGGGTGTATCATTAAAGTTCTCCCTCTAAACAGGGGCTAGAATATTTGAGGCTGTCCTCTTCTGGAGGCTGCTCTTGAAAAGAAGCAAACGGGGCTCTTGGCCATAAAAAGGCTGCTTCCATTTGTGGCAAGTCAAGGATTTCCCATTGAGGAGTAGCCATCCCTGGCGAAAGAAAAGCTGGAAATTGGGTAATAAAATAGGGGCAAAGCTACTACAGGTAGTCCTTGACTTATGACCACAATTCAGCCCAAATTTCTGCTGCTGAACAAGACAACTGTTAAGTGAGGTTTGCTTCATTTTTACGACCTTGCACAGTTGTGAAGTGAATCACTGCAGTCATTAAGTTAGTAACATGGTTTTTAATCTGCGAATCTGGTTTTTCCGTTTACTTTGCTTGTCAGAAAGTTGCAAAAGGTGACCACATGATCCCGGGACACTGCAACTGTCATAAATGTGAGTCAGTTGCCAAGTGGCTGAATTTTGATCACATGACCATGGGGATGTTGCAACAGTTGTAAATGGGGAAAACAGATAGGTCACTTTTTTCAGTGTAACTGTAACTTCAGACGGTCACTAAATAAATGGTTGTAAGTCGAGGACTACCAGCAGAGGGGAAAAGTATGAAGTCCTGAAGTCTATTGAATAAAAATAAAATAAAGGACAGACTTTCAGTGTTTGATAAAAACAATTAAATTGGGCAGAAAGATTCTATTTCAGTCTTAATAATAACACAGTTGGAAGCAATCTTGAGGTCTTCTAGTTCAAGCAAGAGACCCTATACCATTTCAGACAAGTGGCTGTCCAATCCCTGCTTGAAAGCCTCCAGGGAGATTTCCCTGCCATATTATTTTTTTTGAGGCGTGGGTGAGTGGTGTGTGAACTTGGAAATTACATAAAGGCATCTTGGAAGCCCTACCTTCCCATCTCCGATGTTTGGGAACAGGTTTTCCATCTGATCTCCATTTCCTCAGACTCTTCTGGTCTTGGACTCTGCTACTAACCGTCAATTTGCCATCTCCTTCAAAGTGGGGATTCTTCTCAGGATTCCAGTTTGGGTAGTGAATGGGAAGATTTGCTTGAAAATCCCTAAAACCTCCCTCCATTTGGTAGCACATCGAGCAGGCTGAGTGTGACTGAGGCCAACAATAGCCTGTTTGTTAACACCACCCATCTAAAAATATCTAAGATGGCTTTCCTTCTGATTCATAGACCAACGTCCCCTGTCGCTCTTAGCCAACATGACCCTTGGCCAATGTTTGAATCCCGTATCCCTGACTGCAAGTCTGGGCGATTCCAAGGCAAATGGCTGCTCACTGGACTTGGGCCATCAGCATAGATCCTCCAAATGTTGCCTACCTGGGATTTCTGAAATGGAATGGAAAGATCTGTTGAAGGGACCTCTGTTTTCAATTGCAACAAACAACGATGCTGCCGATAGGATTGGTAAAGTTCACTGTGTAAATTGTCTTATTCATGGATTGATGCTTTTGGTTCTGTTGGGTTTGGCGTGGCGTGCACATCACTTTTTCTTCCTTTTGAAAATATCACCAAATACATCTTGTGGAATTGTTAAATGGCGTAAACACTTCTTTTTTTATTTGGTTGTTTGTTTGGGGAAAAGGGGTTTATCATAGGTGTTCAAAGAATAAGAATAAGAATGTTTGTCTACAAATATGTATTTGTTAGCCTCTGGGTTGTGGATATTTATAGAAATGCTTTTTTCCCCTAAAGAAAACCAATGTTATAATATACTAGGGTGCACAAGACTTTGACTTTGCATCTGACCTCATTCTAAAGGGGTTTCTGATTTTGGTGTTCTGACTTCTTTGAAAAAAATGTGAATTGTCACAAGGAAATGTTGGCTGAATTGTGAGGATGGGCAGGCACGAAAGGTAGAATATCGATGGGCCTAGTGCGGCCTAGTGAGAGGCCTTGAGCCTAGGTCTCCCCACAGGCTTCAGGCCCTGGTCTCAGGGGGGACTTTGGAGGCCGATTCCTGCTCCTTTCGTCGGACACGTGAGTGGGGCATGGACGAGGGAGCGGAGATTCCCCAGGGGCAGGGGGCAGGCCCTACTGGGAGTGAGGAGGCCCTGGATCAGGAGGTGGGGGGGAGGGCTCCCCCTCAGAGATCCCTTTCTTCAAGGCGCCCCTCCAGTTCTGTCTCTAGGGATGAGGCAGCTCGCCATAGGGCGCTGGAAAGGACCTTTGCCAGGGCAGAAAGGCAGGCCCAGTCCTCCAAGTCTTTATCTAGGGACAGATCCAAGTCCCCTGTTAGGCCCATTT